ACTTTACACTGAGAGATTTAAAAGAGATGTAGATCACTAGTATAAATGAATGTAAGTTCTGTTTATGCTTATGTTTCTGTATTGACGATGACATCCCAATGTTTTGAAAATGAATGAAATACATTTCTTCAGAAATGCTTTGATAACGTATTTATCATGTTTTTCTGGGAACAAATTCCGCAACATTTTTATTAAAAGAGGTACTCTGATTTTTATAAAGCATAAACAAAATCGGTCTTTTCTGGCCGTGAAAATGGGGATGTCACAAGGTCACCCATCCCTGAATTGCTCTCGCCTGGACACGTTTAACTACAGAGTTCTTATAGGATTTGATGTCATCACGACTTTAAAACGCGTTGTGACAAAAAAGGTATCAACACCCCTTATAAGGAAATGTCTCGTTTCTCCTTCCAAGTCAATGTGGGATCTGGTGTAACCCACCTTCACCCCCCCCCCCATTATAGGGTTCGACGTTTCCATCGAACACATCGACCCGTGCCCTGACTCTGATACCATTTGTAACATCCCTCATTGGAACGTATCACAATATTGTCCGCTTTGGGCTCCTGGCACGAAAACTTCGTACAGTGATGTTGTCCATAGATCAAATTATTTTACAGTATTGACGCTTATGACCTCCCCCTTTTTATGCCCTACGATAATGGTTCCTCTGACATTATGAACTTTACCACAATGATGTTGTCCATAGATCAAATTATTTCGTGGATTGGATTTAACTTGACTGTCTATGGCTCCATTGTGTGTGCTCGGGGTAGAAGTTTTGTATAAATGTATCTCCATGCTATGAAATATTTTGATTTAAGTTCTTTTCTTTATAATAAGTGGAATAAAATAACTCGGTTGAAGCGTAATGATCATACATTTGTAATGCATTGTCTGTCCCGTAATGGGTCTCATTCTTCCAACCTTTCCCCAAAGTCGATGACTATTATCGCGATTATCTTGACACTAAAGAAGATTTCGACCCAATGCTTTATTTTTATCCTAGTTGATCCTGATTCGACATTAAAAGTATATTAATTTTTCCCCAATAACTGAATACTTTTGTCTGTAAATATTGCATACCTTATTCCATCCATAAATCGATTTGATTCCCTATGAGTTTTAGTCTCAATAAGACTACTAATTCTTACTGTTCATATAGTATGATATGAATATACCACATCAATTCGTTATGTATGGATGGTGAGATTTCATTGATATTAAGCTAATTCCAGTAGACTTATTAGATGGTCCCATTGGCATGCATCCAGTAGGACTAGAACCTACGAATTCGCCAATTATGAGTTGGGTGCTTTAACCATTTAGCCATGGATGCTTAGCGGGTCATAGTGAATGACCAGATTCCAATTCAAATGGAATCTTTCAACTAAAGCAATGAGATGCTTAAATGGAATTCTTTTAGTTCTAATAAATCAGGAGGAATTTAATGACATGACATGAATTTAAGACCTGGATTTTAGAATTGAGAGAGATCAAGAATTCTCACTATTTCTTAGATTCCTAGACCCAATTCAATTCAGTGGGATCTTTCATTCACATTTTTGCTACCAAGAACGTTTTATAAAACTTTTTGACTCCTGAATTTGGAGTATCCTACTTTCACACAATTCACAGGGTTCAACAAGCAATCGATATTTCATGATTAAGGGTGTAACACTCTTTAGAGTAGCGGTCCTTATATATCGTATTAACAATCGAAATATGGTCGAAAAAAAATCTCTATTTGATAGGGCTTCTTCCTATACCAATGAATTCCATTGGACCCATAAATGATGCATTGGAAGAATCCGTTGGGTCTTCCAATATCAATAGGTTGATTGTTTCGCTCCTGTATCTTCTAAAAGGAAAAAAGATCTACGAGAGTTCTTTCCTAAATCCAAAAGAGAGTACTTGGGCTCTCCAAATCACTAAAAAGTATAGCAAGCCTAAATCTAACTAGGGTTCGCGGTGGTGGAAGGACTGGATTGGAAAAAAGAGGGGTTCTAGTTGTAAGATATCTAATGGAACTTGGAATTGAGATCTTATTCAAAGAGAAAGATCTTAAATATCTGGACTTTTTCTTTGTATATTATAGGGATGATCCGATCCGCAAGGACCATGATTGGTATTTGTTTGATCGTATTTTTAATTTCTTTTTATGTGTTTTTTATTTCAGTTAATAAAAAATTATTTTTTTTATCTAAATTAAATGGTTTAAATAAAAAAATATGGCATGGCAAAACATTCTCTTGGCGTGGCAAAGAAGTAGGATTCGTGTGATAAAAATAAAATTACGCAAATGTAGAAGGAAAAAGGGAGTGAGAAAAGTTGCATCGCTCCATTTAATCTAAGAAAATAATAACGTATAAACAACCAAAAGGGAAATTTGGTACTTGATTGTTTTATTTACAAACCTATTTTATAAGGTCCGTATCTATCCATCCTATTAGGTTGTAAACGAATCAAACGTTAAACGCACCATTCGTGAATCATTCCATTAAAAGTTCGTTTATGTCCGGACATAAACTATCTGAAAGAACGTGAACAAGATTTTTTGTTCGTTTAGTTAAATGAACAAACATCAATAATGGTCTTGTTTGTTTAATTATGTTCATGACCGTTCATTTATGTTCATTTAGCATACTATATAATATAATATTATACAACAGATGAGAGTAAAGTGACGTTTAAAGAGTTCATCAAGTTTAGCAATTAGAGATTTGGTAAATATTATTATGATTAAAATATTTGTAGTGTTAATGCCATATTTTACAATTCCTTATTTGAATGTTTATGTTCATTTATGTTTGTTCATTTATCATTTAACGAACATAAATAAACAAACATGAACAATGTAATTTATAAAACTGATGAACATAAACAAGAAATTCCGTTCATTTATCCGTTCATGTTCGTTTAACTTAAATGAACGAACATAAACAAGCTATTGTTCATGTTCATTCAGTTTGTTTACAACCTGAATCCTATCGATGGAAATCATTTTGTATCTTTTACAAGGTCAATGTAATCTTCATATAGTCGAACCATTACACCATTAAAGGGAAAGCTATTTTTCAAGGGAAAATGAGTTATAAGGGTAATAAAGTATTAGAATTGTAGAAAAAGATACCATTAAACTTTTTTTTTGTATACATATTGTCAACGAACTATAACGTTTGTATACGTATGACCATTAAAATTTACCTTTGTTCAAAAAATATCATTACGTTATCGATAAAGTAGGTCACCAACCACGTGGCATGTCATGTGGCTGCTGATATGAATTTTAATGTTTATTATGTACACATTATACCATTAAACTTTTTTTTTCATATACATTATACCATTAATCTTTTTTATACACATTTTACCATTAAACTTTTTTGTACACATTTTACCATTAATCTTATATAATTTATTCAAAAAAATATCATTTCAAAAAATACAGATTATTAACTAAAATGGGTTCTCCATCGTCCATTGCGGCTCCTCGATTTTGTAAGGTTTGGGGAAGAAGGTTTGCTTTTGACGATGATACTAAGCACTCCCTTTTATAATTGCATCATACATTTTTTTTGGTCATACCTTGATTAAAACCCATAAGGTTTGAACTTAAGACTTCCTTTTGGAGTGCCCAAACCTTACCTAGCGAGCCACCAAGATGACAATTTAATATTATTATATAAGTATAAAGTATTTTTATAAGTAAGCACAAAGTATTTCAATATATAAATACGTATTTTTACTTACAAATAAAACATATTAACAATAAATATTTGTTTTTATGTATAAATAGATATTTCAATGTATAAATACAAATTCTGACATTTAAAAACCATATGTTGTCCATGTAGTATATATTATTATATGTAAATGTATAAATACATAAATATTCAATTATCCATTATTTTAGCTAAATTTAGTACATTTAAATGTATAAATATATAAATACTCAATATTAGATTTTGAATTCCCCCTTTTTTTTATAGTGGTTGATGATTAGAAAAGTGCATTGAAAATATGTCGTTTACCGATAGGAACATGATTTATAAGGGTAAGTTTATTAAACTTCAGCTAAAATAGTAAATAAGTAAGTATTTCTTGGGTATTTTAGAGGGAAGTCTCAAGTTCAAACTTTATGAGTTTTAATCGAGATATGACCAACATAAATGTATGATGCATTTGTAAAAAAAAAACGAACCCTCTCTCCCAAACCTAGGGGGTCACAATGGGTGATGGAAAACTCATTTTTATGTAATAATATGTATTTATTTAAATGATATTTTTTTTTGAATAAATTATATAAGATTAATGATAAAATGTGTACAAAAATATTTAATGGTAAAATGCGTAAAATAAAATTAATGGTATAATGTGTACATAATATACAGTAAAATCCGCGTTAGCAGCCACGTGACTAGTAACCTACTATTACCGATAACATAATGATATTTTGCTAAACAAATGTGAAGTTTAATAGTTATACGTGTACAAACACTATAGTTGTTTGGCGATATGTGTACAAAAAAATTCAATGGTATTTTTGGTACAATTCTGATACTTTGTTATCCTTACAAGTCATTTTTTTTCACTTTTTTCCTATTAAAGTAATCATCCATCACCAGCACAATGAATCAGCAAGACAGCATTCGTGATTCGTGATCAAAACAAAAGCATTGATAATGTATTCACTTTATACAAAAGTGGCCAAATCATATTCATAGTGAACTGAAAAAAAAAAAAAAAAAAAAACAAGTACAAAACTGTTTATTTAAGCGCTTGTTTGATATTCTAAATATTGATTAAAAAATATTACTTAAAGTCACAACCTCCGATAAACGGTTCAAACCGTTGAAGCACTTGCACTCCATTATTAACTCAAAAGCTAAGCTATATATACAATAACAATATACAATAATTCCAATTTCCAATTACTTCAACAATAATAATAATAATAATAATAATAATAATAATATAATAATAATAATAATAATAATAGACCAAGTACTTGCAATTCACAAATCATCTTCTTATCTGAATCCCTTCTCTTTTTCAAGATTTATGGAATTTCTCATCTGCCAAATGTATTTGTGACAACTCTTCCGCCAACGGGTGGTTTTGATTTTTGATAAAAATATATATTATATATGGTGAGGAGGGTTGAATGGTCAAAATTGTTCTAATACAACCTTGCGCATGAAATCCTCAGGTGCTGTAGCAACATAAAAAACAAATTTTAAATAACATTTATTCATATCTCAAGATTCTCTTGTACCAAATACTTTCTTATTTACTCGTGGAAGTAAGTATATATTTCTTCCAAGAAATGAACACAATACTTTCTAATTTCAATTTAACTTAACTAACATTGATATGGCATAGAAACTAAAATGTTGCAAATCTAAAGCTGATAAAAGATGAATACCTAATCCATTGGTGAACAATCTGAACTGGCCAAGAGCTTGTCTGATGAACATCTCAACACCACTCACTACTGTAACTCCCACCTCTACAGCCTCTTGCAATAGCCGTGTGTTTCTAGGTGTATAAACCGCATCAAATACAAGATCATATGATCTCAAATTCTCCTGATCATGTCAAAAACATTTTAATTCATAATCCCATTTTCATAAATGCAAAAACAAGAAGCATAGCATCCATATTCCATATTCCATATTGATAAAAAGACAGAACCTTGGAAACTGGTGTTAGGTGTACATCTGGTTCCATGCCAATAGCAGAACAATTTGCAAGAATCATTCCATTTTCAGGGCAATATGCATCCAATTGTTCGATAGGCAAAGCCTCCCCTGAAACTGCTCGTGCAAGAGACTCTGCTCTCTCTGTTTTAGGAATTTTATAAAGTCAACAGAAGAGATTTATAACATTAAGATTAAAAAAAAAAAAAAACACATCTTTTAAAGTTTAATTACCAAAGTTTCGGTTAAAAATCACAACTCGTGCTCCTTTGCTTTTGGCACCAAATGCTAATGCTCTTCCAGCACCTCCTGCTCCAACTAATACAAACAATCTTCCAGCAATTGGGGACACATTTGCTACATCCCCATTTGAAACCTGTCTTTCTGTTCATCAATAAACATGAATTACTGATTCAAAAATAATAAAATATATGATCATTGCATAAGTTATAATGCTAATGCTACCAACCTCGCAGTGCATCTTCTATTGCAGTAATGCAAGCATCACAATCTGTGTTGTAACCAATGAGCTTTCCATCAGTGGGCCGCCTAACAATGGTGTTTACAGCTCCAATTGACTGATAATCAGAAAAAGAATGTGTAGAATCAGCTTTAACCTTTTCATATTTTAATTGCAGATAAATGCCTTAATTTCACTTAGATTATGTTATTCTTAGTTCTTAGTTTCTTACCTTAGCAAGGGAGTCAACTTCATCACAGCATGCTACTGCTGATTCCTTATGTGGTAGACCAATACTATTCGTTCCATCAAAGAGAATACATGAATGAATGCATTAGAAAGACCTAATCAATAACAGTGTTATATTTTTAACTGATCAACTTTGAAAGCTACTTTTGTGTTTAGATCAAGTACCTGAAACCAGCAAAGTCGGTACATGAAAAAACTCTGAGAAACTCCTTGATGTTATCAACCAGGAGGGGGACATAAATTCCATTATAATTGCAGTATCTGAAAGCTGGATTATGCAGCAGAGGACCTTTGCTGTGACCTACTGGATTTGAGACAACACCAAATACTTTTGTATCTATATCCACATTATCGAGTTTATAAACGTTCTTGATGCTGAGAAGAGGTGGCAAGCCAGGTATAGATTTGTCTCCTAATGAACCATAAACCATGAAGGCACCATATTTTGGGCCCAACAATTGGCTGATAAGACCTCTATCTCCAACAGCTCTTACAATCACAGGGACCTACACATTCCATGCAAAGTCTAGGGTTTTACAAGTATTGGAAAGAAGCAAAGCTGTAAATTTTGCGAGAAGGCGAGTTCATACATGGGAATGAGTGAGGACATGAAAGACTGGTGCTACATCAGTAATATAAGCCACCTCTGTCACAACTTTGATTATATCTGCTCCAGTAGATTGGAGGCATACGAGCAAATTGCCTAATTTTTCTTTGCAACGAAATCCGCTTTTCACGTGGCTTGATACAATTATCTTACTATTCTCTCGTTTTTGCATAAGTTCATCAATAACATCGAAAGCCAGCTGAAATTACCACAAATGAAGAGCATCGCATCACAACTTAACCAAACCCCTTACGAAAAGCTGTTCATTCTAAGGAGCCTCCAGGCAGAATTCACTAGAATGCGCTTTCTGAAATTTGGGGAAATCAACGATGACTTTAAAAACGATAACTGGAACTACCTCAAAGTCGATCTCGACGAATTCGACATCCAACTCGATGGCGAGTCTCAACACTTGTAAACATTTGTTCTTCGAATCTCCTTTGTATGAGTTTTTCTGCGAATTTAACCTGTAAATTATGAACAAACTTGTCGGTTCATCAAGTAGAGTATAGTATTATTTCTATTTTCAACGTCTGGTTTTGTTTGGACAAGGCCCATTACGACTATGAACTCAGATGGGCCCAAAGCCCATATAATGCTTCGCCTCTATTATTAACAAACAAATCAAAGCTATCCATATTAATTTATTATTAACAAAAGAAAAATCATTTAAAGTGAAAACTTTATAAAGTAAAGAAAATATTGTATTTTTAAACTAAATTCATTTTAATACTATTGTATCTTTTATTTTTATTGGACAATATTGAAAAAAGGAACAAAATTATTCTAAATATGGCCAGTTATTTGATACAGACTCTTGTTATGAGATTTTGCCACCTACTTCTTCAACATGAGAATAACGTTTCTTCTAATCACCAAAAAGATACATAAAACATATTTGAATTTTTAAATATCAAAGCTTACAATTCTACTCTAATATTCTACTCTAATAAATGAAGATTTTTTTGTCACATGTCACACTCTCGTTCAATTTGCCAAATGTCATTTTGTGGTTATTTTTGAATTAATTGTTTTTCCACATGTCATTTTTATAGGTTTTTCTATGTTAATAAATTTCACATAATAGTTTAATGTAATAATTACAATAAATGTTGTAATAAATGAATATCAATTTCATTAATGGACTTACCTTCTTATTTCAAAATTTCCAAATTAAAGCTCATTAGTTTATTTTGTTTATTTATTTAAATTTAAAAGATAAAAAAACAATTTTAATAATTCATTATTTTTCTTATTTTCTTATAAATCCAAAGTTCTTAAATATTTAAACATTTATATTTAATTTTTTTTAATTTAATACATGAGTCTTACACTTAGTTTATATTATAACCAAGATTTTTTTGTTGAGAGAATAAAGAGATCTGCATTGCTGTTAATATGAGTTCATAAATATATTCAATTTGGACTTCGATGTAGTTGAAACTTAAAACTTAAAAGGATGATGGCTTTAATTTATATATTATAATGAAAAACCATTGTAATTAGATATAACAATTTCAACTTAGTTATTTAAATATTGGTCGATTTAAATACTATGCATTCATTCAAAATTAGAAACCTCTTAAATTATTTTATTAGAAAAGTTTTAACATTATTCTACAGGTGGTATAATGTATTTCCATTAAACATATTTTTACACGAAATTATTAAAAGAATATAATCTTCTATCTTTTTTAATATAAACTCCACCACCAAAATTAATGACCATTAAAGACAAGGAACGAGATTGACATGGCCACAGAATTAATGTGTCCCAACTTCTGCCACTGCCACTGCCACACCCATGTAACATTAATGGAAGTGGTGAATTGATTCGATATCATACTTTCATTGATGGTGATATATTATTATCTGATCCACTAGGTTTATGAAATAAAAATCTATCATCATATATTTATTTAAATCGAACATATATTTCTTCTTACAAAAAGTCAATATAGCTTAAAACTTCAAATAAACAAAGGTACGAACAAGTGACTCAATGTATGATACCACATGCTAAAACTATGTCTTAATGTTTTCTTTTCACCTAAAAGGATCCCGACATGGTGCGGTAAATATTAATTATATTCTTTTTGTTAGTTGTATAACTTGTTGTCTGTTATCTTTTATCACGATGTAATTTATATACAAAATTTAGCTTGAAACTGATTGATTCCGGGTATATATTCACAAAAATGACCTATGATTTTTAAAAATATAGAAAAATGGACTAATTTTTAGGCATTTGCAAAAATAACCACACTTTCCGATATAGGCATTTCAGATTTCCATAAATATATAATGTGTATTTTTTTCTAAATTGCACAATTGTCTTTCAAAAACTCTACCAAATTTCAAAATGTCTAATACCCTAATTTATCTGTCAGATGTCACATTTTATGCTATTGTACCGTATTTACTCTAGTTTGCTATGTTTTTTTTTTCTTGTTAGATTTAAGTAATAACAAAAAAAATTTCCTAGAAATTTGGGATTTATTCATTGGATTTTAGATTTGTACTTGAAATTCCGAAATACATTTTTTTCTATCCAAATCCTAATCCAAAATATAAGGCTGAAAATAAGACTTTGAAATGTACTTTTTTTTTGCCAGAAAAAAGTACTCTTAGTATGACATAATGTTAGCTCGAAGTGTCCATATTTTAGACATGATGGTTATTTTAATAAAACAAAAAAAAAATAGTAAGATTATTTCCTCATATTCCAAGACTCCAAAACAGTATTTTTAGAACATCCCTTGGTTCAGGGTTCTTGATATTGCAGTAGTTGGTTTAAAAACATTTGAGATATTTATAACTCTTCTTATACTTATATCTTATTTTTAGATATTTATTTATTAAGTTACTAAGAAGAAGAATAGTCATGGATGACATAGCCACCTACCAACCACTTGTGGCGTCCAGTTTCCATGTGCATCTGTACCTGGACTCTCGTCTTCTTCGCCGACCTTTCTATTATTTTACAAATATAACCCCACCATCACCATATTTTGTCTTGCTCTCGTCAACTTTATGGACCAAATTTGACCAAAACTCACAGGGGCAAATTTGGAATTGATGTGAAAAAGTTAAAACTGACTCAAGAATACAACACCCAGTGTGTGGATGATGGAAACAGACCAACCGATGTAAAATTACCAAACCGACCTTCTAAAATTTCCCAATGATTTGCCTAACTGGTGAAAGAAAAGGTGCTTTGCTTTTTTCTGCGCAATGTAGCACAATTGAAAACACAAGGAAACTAGTCCTAAACCTTTCGTTTCTCTTATTATTTTGATTGAGCTAAAGATTTAAGGGCAAAAGAGTAACATAAAAATTTCAACTTGATTGAGTTCAAGATTTAAGGATGTGATGTCGACGAAATGGGATCGGCGTAAGGGCAAAATAGTAATAAAGCATACAACTTGATATAGTAAATGACGATTTTGGGTTTCTTTTTTTCTTATTTTCTGATTAAGACATGAGATTGGTGCAAGGGCAAAAAAGGGTAAAATATACTAAAGAGAAGGTTACGAAAGTGTAAATAAAAGAAAGACGAGGGTACCTGAAAGAAACAATTGCAGGGAGAGTTCTTTGTTTGAGAAGATGCTCGACTTCAGAAAGATGGAAGGGAGACATGGAATCTATACAAAGCTCAACAAGATCTGCACCTTCTTCTTTAGCTTTCTCCATTGATTTCACCATTTCATCTCTGGTTTCACTTACTATTGTGGTGCATACTAGCAACTTGTTCCTGAAACCCATCTTTCTGAATGTGTGTGTGTGTAGAAGAGGAAGAATTTTAGTTGAAATTGGAAGGCTTGAAATTGAGTAATAAATGGCGAATGGCAGCTAAGCTACCTACCCACTAATGTGTGATGATATATGATATGAGAAATGAGATGATGGATTGCTGTTCCGTTTTGGGTTCTTAATATTTTTGGCCCATTGGAGAACGATGAGAATCTGAATGTCTATCTTACCACAACGTGTTTATTCACTTTCACAACAATTGTTTATAAAATACTATTATCTACAACCTGCATTTAATCATTTAAAGTTAGTAAAGTTGTTGCTACCAAAATTAATTTTTGTTGGATAAAATCAACTTAAAAAGGCTCTCTCTAGTCTCTAATAGTTAATCCACTATCTTTTTGGGATCAACTTTTTATTTATCTTACTTAACAAAAATATCTAGTTATGTTTTTATATCTTTTTAAAAGTTTTTCTAAAATAACAACTCTTTATATTTAGGTGGTGTCAACTTTTTATAATATTGTTTATGAACAAATTGAAATTTATTAAAGAAATGGAATTTGTCATGAATTGAAATCTAATTTTATATTCTAGGTTTGTAGACGTATAAAATCAATTTGATTTCAAAAATATACAAAGATATATTATATAAACTATAAAAATAATAAATGGTAGTGGTGTTTTTTTTTTTTTTTTTTTTTTTTTTTTTTTTTTTTTTTGGAAAGTGAACTTTCATAACGAGGGTTTTCGGACCAGCTTTCACGCACCGACTAATCCCCTGTTGCGAACATGAGACTATGTCTCATGCCCTGGAGTCACTGGCTCACTGCAGACGAACCTCCATGGTCACAAAAGTTGAGTAGTGTCAGGATTTGAACATTGATCAATAGGTTATCCACTGTATATTTCACATGTCTTATCAAGTCACCACAACCAAAGTGGTTATAAATGATAGTGATGTTTGTGGTGGCGGTGGGTGGTGGTAGAGGTGGTGGTGACGCTAGAGTTGGCAGTGGTGTGGTGGTATGTGTGGTCTCGGGTAACGATGGCAGAGGCCTAGAGGGTGACATTGATGGAATAAACTTTCCCTTCCTTAATAGAAATTTCATCTCATTTAAGATTTTAATTATTTTTCAAAAATTAAAACAAACATGAAAATATGATGAAATTAGACTCCACCTAATTTCATAGAATTTGAGCAAACCAACCAGTCCCTTAGATTATTTATCTAAAAATGTTTTATCAAATCTTTTATTTTTAAGCTCTAAGATATTTAAAATATAAATGGTTTTTTTTTTTTTTTTTTTCAGGAAGAGACTTAAGCAAATAACCAATATAAAGTATTTATTATGTCAAATCTTTAATTGGAAAGTGTAAAAGATGATATAGGATTAATGTTAATATATTTTGGGGTATTACCATAAAGGCTACAAGTTTTACACTCCGATTCTAAATTAGCCCTAAATGGATTTTTTGTTTCTAATTGCCCATTATGTATGCGTTGACTTTTGCCTCAAGACCTGGTTTCACCGGTTTCACCAGGTTACCCCTTTACAAATAAGGGTTTTGAACGTTAGAAATCAAAATCTCATCTCCGACTTCTTCCTCCACGCAACAAAATCAACTGACTCTTTCTTCTTCTTCATGTCAAGTTCTTCTACAGGTTCTAAAACTATTGCTTCATCATGGCAAAATCCTCATGGCGATTTTAGGAACAGAACAACCCCATGGTTTTGTATCGATGTGGTGTTAAAGCTAGCTTATCAATTTCCTAGACAGAAAAGAATCCTAGAAGGAAATTTAGGGGATGCCCCAACTACAAGGTATGTTCTTCACTCTTGGGTTCAGTATAATGTTTTCCTATAGGACTAAGGGCAAAATCGTCAAAACATTATGCAGAATCCTTTAAGATACTGTAAGTTCTTCAGGTGGGTGGACCCACGTTTGCCTAATCAAGATTACAAAAACCTGATGTTTCAAATGCATTTAGCTCTGGTTAGTATGGTTGATGGCAATGTCAGCTGGAACTGGTGAATCAAGATCAAAATAAGAGGTTGATATTGATGATGAAGCTTGTATTGATCATGGTCATGTTATTTTCGGTGATGTTGGTAATTGGGATTGTACTATTGGTGAAGGTCTAGGAAGTTAGAAGTTTAGTTTGTTAAGTTTAGTCTTTTGGAAAGTTTTCGGTTGGGTGAAAGATGTATTAGATCATTCTTTTGGAAATTTGGTGTTATAGTCCTATGGGACAGTTGTAATAGGATGTGAAATACATTTTGAAGGTTGTAATATAAAGTCATATGGGACAGTTAATATGAAAAGCATTAACAAGAAATTCACAATGTATTACACGCTGCAAAATGGAATTATACTTACTACAAACAATAATCTTTATAAACAACATAGATAAATACATACATGGAGGGTTGTAACAACCAGAACCAAACTTCCAATTTTACAACAATGTTTACAAGCCATCATTGTTCAAAAATCCTATCTAATAATATGTTATCAGTAAATTGGAAGCTTGTTACCAAAATATGATTTCACAAAAAAGGTCTACCAAAAGATTTCTGCCCAATTAACCCCCCATCCATAACAGCATCACTCCAATGTAATTGTTGTCTCAGATGTTGAACCACCTCCATCTGGATCATGCTCTGTATTTTTCAGATTGAGCTTGATAATTCTTTTTGAGGGCTTCTTTTTCTTACCAATGGATATTGTGTTTCTTCAATGTTCTCTTCATCAACTATATTCTTAACCAATATTTCCTTCTTCTCTTTTGTCAACTGTGAATAATAAATTAACATGTTGTAAGCTGAATATCCATATCTTGTCTCAAAGATAGCCCCTCCACTTGGTATTACTTTCTAGTACCTAAAAAATTTAGTGTAAGTAATTATTAATGCAAAGCTCTAGGATTAAGATCAAAAGTAAAATGTGCAAATCTCATATGTTTTCCAAACTCCTTAAGTTTCTCTATGATGTTTGGGCCATCGTCACCTCTCCATTAGGAAACCATAGAAGCTTGATGATAAAACCTATTCATCAAGTAAATCCTGGTTTCCTCAAGCATTGTTAGCAGTGGTTTTTTCCTCATATGAATGATCATCGAATTAAAGCACTTTGATATGTCATTCTCTACTGCCTCACAAGCATATATATGAGAGAAAAATGCCATACACCAAGAATGTAGGTTATTTGACATCAGCTAGTCATAGCCACTTGGAGTTATGTGTTTGATTTTATCCATTGTATCCATAAAGTCCCCCCTCCACAATACTTTTGGCATCTTCCCAAAACAGATTCTCCAGCTCTAATCCAATGTATCTCTTCCTGAAGTTTACAAAGATATACCTTGTAACGTCCCGAAAATTCAAGGTAAAACTTTCATTTTTAAAACAACCAAAAACCAACATTTATTCATTTCAACCAAAAGAAAATCAGAGTATGATAATGTATCTTCAAACATCAATGATAAATCAAAAGATAATGCAAAATAAAACTTTAGGGTGTGCAATGCGATCATGCCGAGCTCTTCCCTTTTGAACCGGAAGTACCTGAAACATTTAACACAAAACCATAAGCACAAAGCTTAGTGAGTTTCCCCCAGAATACCACATAACAAACAAGAACGGGCCTAACCCAACATACATGATTCAGGACCAGCCCACGTATTCGAGCCCATCCCATATAATCGGGCCCAACCCATCATACATACTGTAAAATTCGGATCCCGAGGTACTTCAAATTTCAAAATTATAAGTATTTAGGGTTGCCACGACGTGGGGGAAAGCGTCACGACGTGGCGCTTCAAGAAATATCATGATCTTATTTAAGGCTGCCACGGCATGGCAACCTATGGCCACGGTGTGGCAACAGTTTAATGATAAACCCTAATATCTAGGGTTTGCACCCTATTTAAGGGAATGTGATGGCTAAGGTTGCTCACCCTCAGACTCCATCACACTCTCTCAGCCTCCAAGCAAACCCTAACCTCCATTTTTGCTCTCTAAGTTTTTTGTGTTGATTTTGGGGATTTGAAGAAGAAGAATGTGACTTCTAGACTTAGATTCAGCAAGCAACTCTTATCATCATCTTGTTGTGTATCTCTGGACTCTTGTAAGTCCCCAAGTTCCAAGCTTTTTGGTTTATTTTGCGTAGATCTAGGTTTTTGTAACGCCCGTAGATCAGGGCTAGTCAATTTAAGGACTATGAGCGTCAAAAATGACTTTTGTTGGAAGATTATTTAGAAGGAGTAATCTTAAACAAAGTTGTAGTATATGTTACCAGGATTCTGTACATATAAATAACGCTGAAATCCGAGTTATAATGAAGAAGTTATGACCTGTCGAAGTTTCACGACAGAACCGGCACGACACCTACATGTAATGGCATAGGAGTATAAGTTGGTTGACTTGACGAGAGATTTTGGATTTTAGACCAGTAGTTGTAAATAACTGATGTAAGGTTAAATCGTACTGTTTATGCTTTTTGGTCTGTATCGGAACATGACATCCCGAGGTTTTATTATTTAATGAAAAGTACATTCTCTTTGAGAAATGTTTTAATAAAATCTTATCATATTTTGTTTGGGAACAAATTCCGCAATAGTTTTCTTTAAAAGATTACTCTGATTTTAAAACAAAGCATAAACAAATCGGTCTTTTCTGGCCGTGAAATTGGGGGATGTCACAGTTGGTATCAGAGCATTAGTTTAAGCGAACTAGGAATTTGTAGGAAATTTCCAGACTTAAACTTAGAATGCTAAGTGATGATTGTGAGATGAGTGTCTACCATATTTTAGACACGAGCACTAGTATATTTTAGGAAAGATGCCTAAAATGCTTTTATGTGCTAAATGTTATATGTTTACCATATATTAAATTGTTTTCGGATCTATGGTCTGTTGCCGACCGGATCTGGAACCCTTATGTGTTTAGGATTCTAAGCGTACGACTACGATATTAGAACTAGCATGTAAACGTTTCAGAGTGATAAGGATGATTTGAATATCTATCGTGAAAGAGGATCTAAATTCACCTTATTCGGTGTATAGATCAAAAATGAAAAGAACCAGAAGTGGAGCTGGAAACATGAACGAAAACAGGAATCAACCACCTGTGATTGAGCAAGTAGTTGTTGCAGCAGCAGCACCTGAGCCGATAAAAATGGCTGGAGTACAATTGATGATTCAAACGATGTTGGATTGTCAGATGGAAGAAACTAGACGCCTGCTTCGGCAGAATCGTGAAGAACTTTCAATACAAGTTGAAGAGCCCAAAGTGAATGGAGGCCAGTCGGGAGGAGGGAACTACAGTGGGACTGTTGGTCGATCTGATCTGCCAGTGATTAGGAGAACAACCAAGACGATGGGGTCGAAAGAAATGGATGCAAGTACAAAGATTTTCTAACTTGCAAGCCATCGACTTTCACGGGAAAAGAAAACCCAATTGGAGTTATGGATTGGATATCGGAGATGGAATTGGCGTTCATAACATGTGGTTGCAAGGGCAAGCTACAAACCACATATGCAGTGCATCAGTTCAGAGGCAACGCTGTTCGCTGGTGGAACACTCTGGGGAAAACCATAAGCCCCAACGAGCCACTGCAACTGACTTGGACAGAATTCTTGGTGCAATTCAAACGAAAGTTCTACTCGGCCCAAGATCTGCTAGAACTAGAGAACCAATTCCTGACATTAAAGAAGGACAACATGTCCATTGATGAATACACCAATGCCTTCACAGATAAGATGGAGTTTGCTCTGCGCATTGTCCCAGACGAGCTGGCGAAGATAGATAGATATGCAAAGGGACTACCATGGGAGTACACAGTGCCAGTACGCCAGACGCCTACCCTTGAGGCGGCCATCTGGGTTGCTAAGTCTGTCGAAGAAATGATCAAGGGCAGAACCGCCAACAAGGTTGAAGTTGGTGAGAAAAAAAAGTTTAAGGGATCCCCAAGATCCGACGAGAAGAGAAAATTCTCAAAGTCTGGTTCGAAAAAGTTCGAAGGAGGAAGAGATGAAGCAAGATGGTGTGATAAGTTCAAAAAGAAACATTTGGGAAGATGTGGCGAGGAGGTAACATGTTTCAAGTGTGGAAAGTCTGGGCACTACGCCAATGAGTATGCATCTGGTAAGAAAGTATGTTATGAGTGTAACGAAAAAGGGCATATCTCGATCAATTTCCCAAAGAAGAAAGAACCAGCAAAGCCAAAGGCATTCTACATGATCCTTGACGAAGCAGATGTCAATACGAGAAATCAAGGATGAAAAAAAAACTTTGTATTAAGCTATGGCTAGTATCTGGAAGTGTAGCCTATTAGCGGCATAGTGTAGGGTGAGCTTGAACCTTTTTGTAATCGTTTCAAGATATAATATAAACCCTGCTTTTGATATCTATGTGATATTTATGGTTTTGATATCTATATGATATTTATGGTTTTGATATCTATGTGATATTTATGGTTTGGATGTCTATGTGATATCTATGGTGTTAATATCTGATGTGTTGGATGATTGTGTGATTTTTGTTGTTGTATGGTGACTTGGTTTAACTGCGAGACAATACTTGGGACGAGTATGAGTAGGTGTGAATGGTAGTAGAGGCCTATACTACCGGAAGCACAGGACTCACACTTGGATCAGGGAAAGTCACAAGGTTACCAAGAAGCTAGTGATTGGTCTCGTTTTATTCAAGTATGTCGTTACCATCGTTTCGGTAATGACTAAAGAGATGATTGTTATTCCAACCCTAGTGGTCATCTCAAATTGAGTCCGACTATGATGAGTTTGTTACGTGGTTCATAGAACCAAGTTCGATGTAACATCTGACTGAGGTCAGAAGATTGAAATCAATGCGACCGATAGCATCGCGCTCGTTGATAAAGAAGTTTGTAGCTAGAGATGCTACATACTAAAATATGATTATATCACATTAGAATATGAGGGAAGGTATATTCCATTCTGGAATTTGACTCTAAGAGACTTGAGTCTAAACGTTGCTTCATACGATGAGAGGTCG